CTATTTTCGGAAACCCCCATGTCTTCCCTCCGAGCAGTCAATACTTGTAGTATGATACGTGGATTTGGTTATCATGAAGATGGTTGCTGCTACTGCTATAGACTGACAGACTGTGGCTATGGCCACCAAAACTTACCCGGGTGCTTCTGAAAGTCGTGCGACCGACACTACTCTGAAACCACCCTGACGACTGCCGTTACGATGCAAACTATGAAGCTTGTATAACTGTGACGATACATGCCCACTGCTGTAATCACCGCATCGCCAGCAAGAGTTCTCTACTCCTCCTCCTCCTCCACCACCTCCTCCTCCTGCTCCTCCTGCTACTACTCCTGCTGCTGCGCTACTACTGTATCAAACAGTAGACCAGCAGGACAGTTTTCCAACGGACATGGCCAAGGCGGTGCGAGGCACCTACTTGTAGCTACATAAAGTCGTTTTGTCTGAGAATTTAATACATGTGGGAGAAGGGCATGGCAAACTATTTGAGCTGATGTTGGACGTTGTGCATCTGACACAGGGCCGCATATGAGACAGGTAAGCGGTGGGGCGCGAATAGCAAGCAGATCGAGCTGCATGGCATGACTGCTACTACTGCTGGAGCCGCTGCCGCTGCTGCTGCTGCTGCTGCTGCTGCTGCTGCTGCTGCTGCTGCTGCTGCTGCTGCTGCTGCTGCTGCTGCTGGTACTCCTCCTCCTCCTCCTGCTGCTGTTGCTGCTTCTACTCCTGCTACTTCTTCTGCGAGTTCTCTGCTACCTCTTCTACTTCAGCTTCTACTACCACCTCTTCTTCTACGCAGTGTGGACTGTACATAGACGGATCCTTGTTATGATGATCCTAGATTCTTGAGGTCCTGACTCCTGACAATAGAAACCCCACTACATCGGCAGTATTCTGCCTAAAGCCGTGTCCTAAATACATGAGGCAACTACCCCAAATGTGTAAAGAAAGCCCTACCTCCAAGGAAACTGTGGTAAGGCACCCGTGATATATAGAAACCCAAAGACGCTGCCCTTGTAGAAGGCATACAGATGTCCCAAACACCGGAGCACGTTTGCGAGATCTTCTTTGGATTTTTCTTCTTCGGCAGCAACGCCAAGATCTTCTCTAGCAGAGGATCGATCTCCGGAATCTGGCACGCGGGGAAAGGCTTACAGTGACAACCTACGTGTTCACTTGTTTGCTTACATACCTATGCACTTACTGACTTGTGATCTGTGTGCATGTTCATAGGTCGAGAACAGTTTTGTATCGGATAGTTTTGTGTATGTGCGTTCTTGTCGAGTAGAACCTCGAGTCTAATGCTTTCCAGAACCGGGCATTTGCCTTCTGTGTTTGATTGACTTTTGGAAGATCAGCTCATGTTTGTCATTGCACAGCACATGCGTTCTACTGCTCTCACACTGTAGCCTCCGCGTTGCTAGCACGCTCACGATGCTCTTGTTCCTAGTCTTCCGTGTGGTGCCCACCAACATCATGATAAATGTCAGGTGTACATTCCGCTGCATGACCCATGTTGAAGATAGTGCCCTCTGGTATATTTGATTTAGAATGAAGGACCCTGGATAAAATACACTGACTGATGGAATCACGATTGCGAAGAAATCCCGACAAATGAACTTAGTTTTCAGAACCCCCCCCACCCACCCACGCTCAACCCTTAATCCCAAACCCCAACACCCCATGCAAAATCCAGAAAGCGTGGCATACCCAAAGGATTCATGATGGTCCTGAACCCTGCACCCCCACACCCGTGACCACTGGACCACGAGAGCCTAACCAATACTAAACCCGCAAACCTCAAACAACCCTAAACCCTAGACCCTAAACCCTAAACCCCAAACCCTTATCCTTGAACCCTAAACCCCAAACCTTGAACCCTAAACCAGTAAACCAGGGGCTACCCTCCCGCTCCGGTAGTCGCTGAAGAGCTGCCTCGCGGAGGTTTGGGCTTTAGGGCTTAAGCCTAGGGCCTAGGGTTCAGGGTTTAGGGCTCTAGGGTTCTAGGGTTTAGGGCTCTAGGGTTCTGGGGTTTAGGGCTTCGGGTTCTGGGGTTTAGGGCTTGGGGTTTAGGGGTTTAGAATTTAGGGCCCAGGCTTTAGGGTTTTAGGGTTTAGGGGTCGGAAGGCTTGCGCGATGCAGAGGGCTTAGGGCGTATACTCAAAGGCTTCCTGGGTCGCTCTAACATAGGAGTCGGGTTCTACAAACCTTACTTGAGACTATGATCAGGTATGCAGCTGCAGCCCTAAACCCTAAACCCTAAACCCTTATTTGGGACTATGATCAGGTATGCAGCTGTAGCTGCTGATATCCGAAGAGCTTAGATGCTCTGATGAAAGAAAGACCCGATTCACCCCCTCACGAACTCTGCAACCCCATGAAAACCGTCCCTAAACCGTAAACTCTAAACCCCTAAACCCCTAAAAACCATAAACCCACCCCTAAACCCCTAAACCCTAAACTAAACCCCTAAACCCCTAAACCTAAACCCCTAAACCCGTAATCCCCTAATCCCCTAATCCCCTAAACCCCTAAACCAGCCTCAGCACCAGGTTGATGTGCCGCCTGCACAGGGCCAAGGCGCAGAAGGAACGTGGCTTTCACAACATGGCGACGTCCATACATGGGTTTAGGGTTTAGGTTTTAGGGTTTAGGTTTTAGGGTTGAGGGTTGAGGGTTGAGGGTTTAGGGCTTAAGGTTGAGGGTTTGGGGTTTAGGGTTTATGGTTTGGGTTCAGAAAACGGTGGGAATGTAAAGGTAGACTCTACATAACTAGGATCCAATGGTAAAGGCAAACCTTCCGACCTTACAAAGGTAACAGGATCCCTGAAGATAAGATCCCTGAAAGCTTTCCGACGGCCTCCACGTGAACTAGGGCGAGCTATAGGGTCCCTTTTCAGTGCAAGCCCTTTAGGGTCTACGGGTCTGGGATTCAGGGTACAAGGTCCCTGAACCCGGATATGCTACCAGTATGATTCCTGAGGTTTCCTTACTATAGTTCTACATGGCTCTGCTATAATTTGGGTAGTTATCTAAATTCGGGTCCTTTTTGGGGTCCCCAATCTAGTACGGCACCCTTTATAAAAAGGACCCCAAAAGCGGACCCTAATTTAGAGAACTACCCATATAGCCGAAAACATCCGAAAACCCAAACTCGAGGAGGGTTGGGGAAACTCCGCGATTGGACCTGCTGATAGCCGCCTTCATCTCGGCCATAGACTCGAGCCTGGATGCCACCACGGTTTAGTTTAGGGTTTAGGGTTGGCGTGCATGGGAGGATGCTGTTTAGCGCGATTGCGGTGTCGAGTTCGGGGGGATAAGGAAGCATGGTCGTGCCACAGATGGCTGGTACAATGTTCTGGGATGTGGTTGCCCCCACAAACTATTGCCCTGGTTGTTATCACTTCATAAGGTGTCGCCACTCCTACTCCTGCTCCTACCACAACACCACCACCCTGCTCCCACCGCCACTACCACCACCACCAACACGACCGCTGCCCCTATCACTGACCCTACACCACTACCACTACGACGACGACTGCTACCAGGGATGTGGCTATTGCCTAACTGGACTGTGGAGTGAAATTTGCATTCATAAGTGCGCACAGCACAACAGCAGTCGAGAGCCGCAAAGAGTTCAATGGATGTCGCAGCACACAGGCGGTACCTATTTCCGCATGTCGATGCGTCTATAATGTATGATGTTGATTCAAGCTTCTCTGCGGCCACTGCTGCCCCTGGAAATGCGTATCAGGTCATTCCGGTAGCATGGCTCACGCCCCGTGACTGATGGCTCCCAAACCTTTTCACAGCTCCTGATAGGGCTTTAGGGCTTTAGGGGCTTAAGGGTTTAGGGGTATAGGGGTTTAGGGGTATACGGTTTAGGGGTGGCTCCCCTGCGACCAGCAGCTCCCACCCCACCAAGCACAAGCACAAGCCAGAGGGGCGTGACGATGCCTCGCTTCCCATCGCCTGCACGGTTGCACCTGTTGCCGGGCATCCATGGAGAGTCCATTGAAATCAGAGTGAAAACGACCAAAACGAACCCGAAGCGGCAGATACAAGGGAATGACGAAAGAAGCAGAGCAGCAACACCAGCCCGGAACGTAGCGACGTGGCATCGGCTTCAAAGCGTCAAGATCGATAGCCATTTCCTGGATGCTAGTCAATCGGCAGCCATCCAACATCGGAACCTAATTCAAGAAGTCGGGCTTGGGGTACTTCTGCTGCATGTGGGTTGTGCGGGAACAAGAACTTTGGCGGCAAGCTGTCAAGCTGTCCACCTTAATCCCAGAGCCCTAAACCTGCACCAAAGCACGCTGGGAGCCCACCCCTTTTTGACACGAAGGTAGGAAACTCCTCACGTCTCGAAAGAGGCGATCAGGTCAGCGATGTCATTAAGTCCTGGCTGTCACAGCTCAAGAAAGAGAGCTTCGGATTGGGGCTACGGGTTTAGGGTTTAGAGTTTAGGGTTTAGGGTTTAGGAACCCTAAACCCTAAACCCTAAACCCTAAACCCCCGATGTCAATGCCGAGCTTGAGTCAAGGCATCGGGATCCGAGGGATGGTGATCGCTACATCGGTCTGCTTGTAAAGTACACTACTCCGTGTAGTCCTCTATATCCGTAGACTATCAAACTACATACCTTAACCTACCAAAAACCCACTTTTTTGTAGGTTCTTACTATAACCTTCATATGGTATTTACAGGGACCCTACAAAAAAGTAGGTTCCTCACTGGCCCAAAACCCAAGGAAATAAAAGTTGAAACTTTCAGAACCGACTACCTTATAGGAACCCCAAAAGTTGAAAAGTTGAGTTTACAGCCGATAAGGTTCTGGTAGGTTAAGGTAGATCTCTTGCAAGACTCGTCCTTGGTTTGCAGCCCACTGCTGAGCCGTCTTTCCGTTGGCCTTCACGCCTCAGCTCTTTAGGGTTTAGGGTTTAGGGTTTAGGGTTCAGGGTTTAGGGTTTAGGGAACGTGTAAATGGGTAGTTCTCTAAATTAGGGTCCCGTTTAGGGTACCTTTTTCTAAGGGTGCCGTACTATATTGGGGACCTAAAAGGGGACCCGAATTTAGAGAACTACCCAAATGTAGGGCGCTCTCATGACGCGGGCTTGGGGTGGAAGGTTCTGTGCTTGAGGAACTCAAACCATGATCGCAACGCATCATCAATGCTAACCTTCTGCGATGTGGGGGAATCGGGCACGCCGAAATGACAAAACACGTGGCCGGAGATTGAAGAAAACACTCCGCGACATGACCTCCAAGAGGTCGGTTTTGACACGTCGGGGCGTGTCATTGGCCGCTCGTGTTTTTGACATGTCGGCGGCAGCCAAGTTTTGCCATGTCGGCACGTATTTTTGCCTGCGCGTATTTTCCATCTCGGTGCGTTTTAATGTTGGCATGCCGGCGCGTTTTCTTCTGCATGTCGGCGAGTTGTTTTTGCATGGAAGTCGGCGCGTAATTCTGGCAGGTCGGTGCGTAGTTTTAGCATGTCGGCGGCAACCCTTTCTTTGCCATGACGGGCTTCTTTTCAGCATGTCGGCACATAATTTTGGTTGTGGGCGGGAACCCTTTTTTGTTGGCAGGTCGGCGCGGTTCTTGTCTGCATGTCGGCGGAAGTTTTACACGTCGGCGCGTGGCGTCCCTCTGGATCACCACCTAGTTCAGTTTACTTAACTTCAGTGTTTACTTGGTTTACTTCTTCTGATGCTGCCGCTGACAACGACGACGGAAAGGATGATGACACGCATACGCACATACGTACATGTATACATACACACAGACAGACAGACAGACAGACAGACAGACAGACAGACAGACAGACAGACAGACAGACAGACAGACAGACAGACAGACAGAGAGACAGACAAACAGACAGACAGNNTGTGTGCGTGTGTCTGTCTGTCTGTGCAGGCGCGTTCGATCCAACTGTGTCTGCCGCGAGGCCAGTGCTGGCGCCCGCTTCCAGGAGCACCCTGGTGGCTTCGAGGTGGCCGGAGCGGGCCGCTCCCATCAGTGCCGTTACACCGGCTCTGGAGGTCCTTCTGGGCCGGTGTCCGAAAAGGCTTCTGTCGGGTCGTCACATGGTTTCTATGGCTGATGGAAGGTTTAATGATGCTCAGAACCTCGGTGGTAGTTACAAGATGAGCTATCAGATTATCATGACTTCAGATTCGCAATGCAGGAAACCTGCGAACGCTTCAGGGTTTGACAGTTGCGTCCTTAGGGCGCAGGGACTCAGAATAAGAGAGTTTGGGTTTCAGGTTCCGGGGTCCGGAATCCGACGTTGATGGCCTGTGCATCTTTGGAGCTCAAGTCCCCTTGGCTCTTGCCCCTTCGAGGGGTGGGAAGCCGGGTGATTCTCAGTGCTGGGCTCCTGTTTACATCAGCACCCCGGCGCAGCAACGCCTCCGGCCCATGTCACAGAAGCGGGTGAAGTGCTGAAAGGAATGGCAACAACCACAATATCATGATGTAGTGTAGCAGAAGAAGACATGATGGCCTCGACGGTGATCGTGGTAGTGCTGGTGATGCGGTCGTCGTGGCAGCGGCAGTCGCAGGTGGTAGTCGTGGTGGTAGTCGCAGCCGCAGCACTGGGAGTAGTAGTAGTAGTAGTAG